GGAGTTGCCCTCCTTTGTGGCCGCAACATTTCCAGGAAATGTTCTCTTCTGGGAAGACTTTCCACAACATTCTGGAGGGTGTCTGTGGGAATTTGTTCCCAATTGTTAGGGCTGGGAATTGATGGAATTCTTCCCAGAGGTGCCCAGTAGGGTTGAGGTCAGGGCTCTGTGCAGGACACTCGAGTTCCTCCACCAAGCTGGTCACACCATGTCTTTATGGAGCTGGCTTTGTACACGGGGGACAGTCATGGGGGGGACAGAAAAGGGTCTTCACCAAACTGTGACCACAAGGCTGGAAGATCTCAATTGTTTACAATGTCCAAGGATGTAGTTGAAGAGAGCGTTCACTGGGGACACCTCATACTTCTGGCCATATGGTGGACCTGTGAAGGTTCACAGTGTTCTTAACAGGCCTCTAGGAAAGGTCGACATTGCTGTATTTTTGCCCCGATCGCTGCGGTTGATGAATGAATGCGGCCGGTGTGAGGACAGCCATGTATAGGCTCGGTGTACATTGGCCTCAAAGAGAACCTGTCATCATAGATGTGAAGAGCTGCAGTTGCTGATTTCTTTATAGAAGCAGCAGTCATCCTTTCTTGGAAGAGACATGCAGCCACCAAATACGTTACAATCTCACCGTACAATCAATCTCAGATCAACCGAGCCTCTGTAATATTAGGACCACCATACTATAATATTGATTTGTATCCCGGGACCCCCGATCGCGCTATCTGCAACAAATACGGCAGCAGAACGAGACTTATCTGACTCAAAGAACTAACAAAGCCTTTCAGGGCTCTTCATTAACACCCCAGTGTTGTCTTCTGCTGCCACTGACATGCTAATATCCTGACAGAGAGCAAATACACTACAGGGTCCACCGATTGGACACATTGATTACCCCCTCCCCCACCCCCGCTCATCTACATCACCATAGACGTGAATGGGAATCGCTCTCCCTGGTCACATGAGGGGGGAGATGAGCAGCAGGCAGCATATTCCAAAGAGCAATATTACAATGTTCGTAGCGCCATCATCTTCTGTGGCGTTGTACAAAATACTTACAGGGGCATGTACAGACTGTAATAGAACAAAATCATAAACAGTAATACATACATCTCGGAGCCATGGAGCGAGTATCAGCAAAACAGCAGAATCCGTTACATGTTCAGGAGCGGCTCATTGTTAAAGTGTTTAAAGACCGGACTGTCAGCCGAAAATCTGGGTCTGAGCGTGCGAATTGTGGCCGTCAGCAACTAGTCAATGTTAGGGCAGAACGGGGGAGGGGCAAGCCCCCTGAAACGCGTCGATCTTGGCTGACTGCGGTCGGTGGACGGTGATGTGACCGGAGACTACCGTGTTACATAGTCGGGGGGGATACCATGTTGGGTCAACAGACAGTGTGGCCTCTCGCTTGTTGTTAAAGCCCGATGATAACGTTGGTTTGCGAGTACTTTTATCCCTTGTTTTATTTATTGTAATAAACGATTTTACACACGGAGGTGGCGCTCGGTTCCCTTTTGTTTTCTATGTTCGTGGTGGAAGCCCCAGAGCCTCGGATGGGCCGCCCCTCAAGTCTGTGTAAACAACCTGTGATAAGCTGTTGAAAACTTTGAGTGTGCAACAGCAAGTGGATTGTTCAGCTGGCAGCCATTAGCGCCAAGAGCTAAAGAAAACTTTTTGTCCAATACACATAGGAGTCCACAGGACGAGGGCTTTTCAGGGGTACTAGAATACCGTATACTTCTAAAAATACATTTATTAATATTCATTAAAATACATAACATCTGTACATTGTATGTTTCCCCGAAAGTAAGACCTAGTTGTGACCATTCCCAGGGCCGGTGGTGGCATAAGGGGGAACTTGAAGAGCCGCGGGAGAGGCGGGAGAGAATCAGCGGTGCCAATGAAGCCAGCGCTAGAGGAGGCAACAGCGGAGGGAGCAGAGCCGCATAAGCCGATGCCTCCTCTATAGCCCCGCCTCCTGTCACAGGCGGAGTGATACCAAATGCACCTCACCTGTGAGGAATCCATAGTGAAAGCTTCGCTCATTCTGGCCAGCGATTGGTTAGCTAATTGCTCTCGGAAAGGTACGGCATCCGATTGCCCTGATCACCATATTGTTGTAGATGTATAAGTGCGGATTGTTGTACATTTAAAAAAAATAAGACCTCGTGTGTTTTTTGAGCCAGTGTCTTATTTTCGGGGAAACACGGTACAAGTGTCTGACATAAAAATGTATTATTATTATTATACGGGATTTATAGAGCGCCAACAGTCTGCGCAGCGCTGTACAATATAAGGAAGACATTAGAATCACAATACAATTCAATACAAGATGGTGAGGAGGGCCCCGCCCCTGAGGGCTTACAATCTAAAAGGGGAGGGGCCAGTGATACATGAGGAGGGAGCTGTGTGGGGATGAATGGTTAGGTTGAGGTGGGATCGGCTTCCCTGAAGAGATGAGTCTTTAGGGATCGCCTAAAGGCAGTCAAGGTGGGAGATAGACGGACAGGTTGGGGTAAAGAGTTCCAGAGGATGGGAGAGACTCTAGAGAAGTCCTGGAGGCGAGCATGGGAGGAGTTGACGAGGGAGCCGGAGAGCAGGAGGTCTTGGGAAGTGCGGAGTGGATGGTTAGGGTGATACTTAGAGACCAGGTTGGAGATATAGACGGGGGCGGAGTTGTGGAGCTTTGTAAGTGATTATTAGTATTTTGAATTTTATCCTAAATAAACTCCCAGATACAGAGGAATGTAGCCCAAAAACCCTTCATAGATAACACAGATAGAGGGGGGTGGGGCGCTGCAGAAACTTGATGCGTTTCGCCCTGCCAACGGGCTTCTTCAGAAGTCTGATGCGGAGTATACAATCACCATTAGCGCCAACAGTGTGCGCAGCGCTGTACAATATAAAGGAAGACGTGACAATTACAAATGTAACAATAATAAATGAATTCAATAAATAATTAATAAATGTCTTTAAAAAAAATATACACTATTATTATGTTATCCTGCACTGCGCCCCAGACG